TTCAAAACATTTTCAACAGATCAGTAATTATAAGCAAGCTCCGTTACGCCTATGTTTAGCATATTTTGCAGAAATGTTTGTTACTAGCTAATTTATATAAAGTTTAGGATATGGCACTTCGCTCGGCGATGTATTAATTAGTGTTTTACATTATTAAGCTTAAGGTGAATTACAGATCAGGACCTCTACGTCTTTTCACAGTCTTAAGACACAAGGAAGGGAGTTTTGAACTATAATATATCAAAAATTCTACTGTACATTTGAATTTCCGAGTTTTCAAACACCATTCCCTTTGAAATCCGAGATTTCTTTCCAAACTTCCACTTCTAATTCCAACAATACATGATCATAAAGCTTAAGACTGCAGTCATATTTTGTTTATTGTCATAGTCAAAATTTTGATAGAAAAACTGCTTTTAGGGACAATTTTGCCCCATTTTGTGCGAGAGTTGGCGCGCCAAAAAGAGGCGTGGTCCACGAGCACGCTACGTGCAAATCGCATTGTCGTTCATAAAAGGCTATCAAACGAGAATAGGGGGCAGAATTTGGATGTTCTTAACAATGCTACGAGCGCTGTAGTATATACATATGTGAATGAGTGCAACCACGTTAGGCACTTTCAAACGACCAAACTTCTTGAATCATGTAGCGCACGGTATGACCAAATTTTGAACCAAGCTGGACATTTCCAGTGAAGCTTGATCTGTCGCCTTACTATCGTACTAGTATCAACTGTGAATTTTGCTGAAACAACGAAACTTTCTTATTTGAGAACTTTCTTGTTACCTGTTTTTGATTTGTTAACTGCTGTTTTTTGGCCGCAGATCGCCTTGCGAATATTTTCACAAGTATGCTGGGTTGTGAAACGTTCTTGTTATCAATCAGCAGCGACTGTCCGACTGCATTAGAGAACGCAAAAAAATCACCACCAATTTGTTGGCATACGAAATGGCGTACATTTTTGGTGCGGAATCAATTCATTTATGAGGAAGCACAAAAATAAGGAAACAATCACGGGGTTTTTAGTGACGAGAGGGTTGCCTCCTGCACGGAGTTCAAGCTCGCCATTAGCTCAAGGAGGTAGCTAGCGCAACCTGGTACTGTGCTGCTTTCGCACTCGCTAAACTGGTTTTTCATAATTTTTCCAGAGAATTTGTTGTTGAAACTGTGGTGAAATTTCACGGAATGGTTTTTCTATTTCAAAATCAAAAATGTAGATTATGGATGTTCAAAAATCTCTTCCACCTGACTGTTCTTTTTGAGGCGTACTGTATGAAGCAACCTGAAGATGTTAAAAGAAACTCGAGAGACAAAAACCGACTACGGTGAGAATGGAATTCAACGGGGGATGAAACAATCGCAAGAGTTAAGGCAATTTGTATAAGAAAATCTGAATAAGACGCTGTCGGGCAAACGCACACTCTTTACTGGTCGAAGCTGCACTCGTCTGCTCACCTGGCCGGACAAAACGACCGAACGAGTAACAACAAACGGTGTCTGTCAAGAAAGAAATTGTGTGTGTGTGGGGTGGGGGGGGGGGTAGGGGTGCTACATGTCCAAAGAAGTACAAAACTCACAACAGCTAATCGTACAGAGTACCGCCGATATCGAATGTGGTGCGCATCGAAATGAGCGGTACTAATGACGAAGTTCAAATCTGATTTCCGGAAGATCGGAAGGAAAAATGTAAAAGTCTGTATTGTTAAGCCAGATCGAATTAGGGGAAGCAACCTGGACGGGGCGTTTCTCAGAAAAGCGGTCCTTAATAAAAAATTCATAAATCGGCTCAGAGAAAGCCTACAGAGCAGCAAAACTGATATAGGAAAGCCTGAGGTGTTTCAGCGGGGGTTCGCCCACAATGGGCGGCGTGTGTCTTTGAGTGGACAGCGTTCTCTACACGCCCTCATAATCCGGTAACGAGAAGTCTTATAGAAGGAAAAAAGGTGGGCAGAGGTTAATGAAGGAGGAAAGGACAAATTTTGGTGGTGGGTCTGGAGTGCATTAAACTTGGCGGATTGCTAGCAGACTTACAACTCGGTTCAAAGACGTCCTAGAAATCGGGAAAAAAGTGGGTAGAGATTGACGAAGGAAAAAATGCAACATCTATTTGTGGGCGAAGCATTCACCAAAGTGAACAAGGACTTAAGAGTCAAGTTAATAGCTTATAGTGAGTGAGAGAAAGTCACATTTATTTCTTCAAAATCCGAAATTGCCGTGCCGTCCAGAAATGTCACGGAGACCGAGGAGAGCTTGTAGAATCTGATCTGAAATGAGAAGTCGAATCTTCGTGGTCGATCCGGTTAATTTGGAAAATTCCGACAGCATCAATCCATATCACCACTAAGTTGGGGAGGGGGTGCACCAATAGCGTGCGACGTCAACTGTTTTTAGTTATAAAGTACGTCGAAATGTTGATATCCATTTTTCCTTGGTCGCGGCCCGGCTGTGCTCAAATCCAGAGCAGACTTTTACTTGAAATTTGAAAGAGAGATCTTTGCTGCGCCTTTTCAAGGGCGTCCCATCCGCTCAGAGATATCTCATTTTTTCTTGGAAAAACCTCGAATGGATTTTTGAGCGTCTGCGTAATAGTTTTAACTTCACCTGGGAATCCGGGCGTCATCAGTGTTCGCGTAAGACGTTCTGAGTAGGCGTGGAACCTGAGCAACAATATCTTCCTATTACTTGCTCGCAGATGGCGTAGAGATTTGGGAGGGGGGAATTCACGGAAAACTCGACTGAGATGGAGCAGCGCTCCACAAATACATTGAGAGAAGCTGCTGTGACAGATCGTTGCTGAACGAAGTCCTACTTCGCCACCAGTTTTTGAGGATTGACAAGATTGCTGGCAAGGCTAGGGTAATTTA